CCGCATCTCACGCATCTCACACGCGCACACACACGTGCACACACCGCATCTCACGCGCACACGCGTGCACACACCGCATCTCACGCATCTCACACACGCGCACACACCGCATCTCACACGTGCACACGCGCATACGCGTGCACACACCGCATCTCACACACGTGCGCGCGCGCCCGATCACATGTGAGGGACTCAGCGGGCATCCCCATTGCAGAGGTGAGGAAGCTGAGACTCAGGGACAGTCAGAAGAGCCCACGCTGGTCAGCGCTCAGCTGAGCAGGACGGAGCACGGGAGGCAGGGGTCCCACAGGCCTGTGATGTGGGGGCTCGTGCCTGGAGTGGGGCCAGGATCCTGCCCTTGGCCTGCCTCAGAGAAGGAGGGTGGTGCTGAGGCCTGGGCCTCCCTTGGGCCCTAGCACCTGGGGCCTTGGGCTGTGGATTGTGGACACTGCTGGCCAACAACACAGGGCCCGTGGCTTTTTGGGGCTGTAGCCCCATCTTGGGACCTGGGGTGGCCCTGGGGAGCAGGGGCTCTGAGGGGCTGCCTCGAGAGAGGCTTTTGGCTGAGCCTGCCGTGGGTGTGCAGGAGGAGGGGCTGAGGTCCTGAGGGTGTTTCCCCGGGACTCAGGAATATTCTAGATCATAGCCGGTGTGCCTTGCCGACCCATCCTGACCTTTGACCCGGTCAAGGTCTCCAGGCTGAAGGGTGCTCGAGACAAAACAGCTGGGTGTGGAGGACTGGCTGTAGGCTCTGGACCCTGGCCAGGCCTTGCTGACCCTGGTCATGAGGCGGGTTCTGCACACTCCTGCACTTGTGGGCACCGCGGTGAGCTGGGAGGCTTGGGGGCGAAGAGGAGGGCAGGACGCTCACATGCCCCATGGTGTCCCCATGCTGGCCCACAGGGTGTTGGGGTCAGCAGCCACCTGGGTCTGCTCCAAGGAAGACGCCAGGCCACAGACGGGGTGCCGATGGCCTGCGGTTGTCCCGCACGCCAACAGGACGGGGCTGCGAGAACGCTCCAGAATAGGGAGGCTGGGGGGTCGGGAGGTGGTGGGTCCCCAGACAGTGAGCGGGGGAACCCAGGACACCTGGGCCACGTGGTTGGGGTGGTGACTCCCTGGCTGCAGGAGGTCAGGGTCGGGGCTGACCTGCAGCGGTCTGAAGTTATTTCCCAGTGAGAAGGAAAGGAGGAGCAGGATCTCTGGATGCACTTCCTTCTGGACTTGGATTAGCCGTCTGTAAAGTGGGCACAAGCGTCCGATCCGGGCTTCTGTGTGAAAAGCGGGAGACACTGGCCAACATCCTGGACGCGGTGCGGAGGCACAGAGAGGTCTATCGGTGGCCCTAGGTCACACAGTGGGGAGTGGCCAGTCCACACCCAGCCGTGCAGACCTGGGACTGTGGTGGCGTGGGTGCCGGGAGGGTGGCTGAGCTGCCGCTGGTCTGCTGCGGAGGCCCAGTGTCCGGCTCCCTGGCGCAGTGAGGTGGCGGAGCGGCCCACCAGCTCCAGGACACCAGGCCAGAGCTCAGAGCAGCATTATGTCATTGCGTGCCGTTTGCTCTTCTGGGTGTTTCTGCCCGCTCTGAGTGGTAAATGGTCAGCTCTGCACAGCCTTGCCCCTGCTGCCCTCTTCCTGGGCTGTGGCCCGGGGCTCAGTGTGGCTGAGCAGGTCAGGGCAGGGGTGAGGAGCCTGACCCTGGCTGTGCCCCTGCCCTGCCCCCACAGGCAGAGGGCTTGGGTCTGTGTTTGCTGAGCCTGCCTCTCCCTGTCCCCAGATGAAGGTCACCGCGTCCAGAGGGGGCGACCGCCACAGTGGGGATGACAGCCTCCACGAAGCCACCAGCTCCCGGACAAGCAGCTCTCGGGACCAGCTCAGTGACGTGAGTGCCCCGGCCGCTTGCTCAGCCAAATGCTCCTGGTCCCTCGGGTGCCCCCAGCCGGCCCCCCCACCTCCGGCAGACACTGCAGGCCACGTGCTTAGCACCTGAGAGTCTCACCGAGGGCTTTGCCTTTGCAATTAGTATTTTGCCTTCATTAAAGCAGGGTTTTTCACTAATTAGGACTTCCCTGCTAGGAGGGGTTTATATGAGGAACTTGGATGAGGCCCCAGCAAGAGTCATGGGGAGGCCCTTGTCCAGCTGGGGGTCTTCCCTCGCCCACTGGTGCTGCTGGCTGGGCAGTGGGCAGGGAGGTGGGGCTGTGGTGGGAACAGCGGCGGGCAGTGCTTCTGGCCTGGTGGGCGGGCCTGCTGGGGCCGCTGGGAGCGAGGGCGTCCCGGTCTGGGGACAGACAGTGTCCCAGAGGATAGGCCCCTGAGCCTCGGGCCTAGTGTGGGATGACCGGGCAGCACACAGAGGATTGAATTTGGGGTATGGCCAGCCGTAGGCGTGCTGGGTACCCTCCAGGGCCCCTGGGTCTCCCTGGTCACAGCCACTTGGGGGTAGGTGGGCACAGGGCAGACTAGGATGAAGACAGCGGAGAGGGGTCCCAGGAGGGGGGTCCCCCAGGAGGGGGGTTCCCCAGGAGGGGGGCGCTGGACCCCCCCAAGAGGCCTTTGTTTTCCCAGACCCCCAGCTGTGGAAGCACAGAGGCGTGGGGCTGGGTTTCTGAATGGAGTGAGCGTCTCTTATTATCATCTCAATAGGGGCCTGGGGGCGCGGCCTGTGGGGGGAGGCCAGGAGGAGGGCCTAATTGCCCGGCCCCCGAGCCTGTTGCCGCAAGATGGGAAAATAGGCTGGTAATTGTCTGGGGCCGTGGGGCTGCCCTACTTCGGACTCTAATTGCCGGTGGGATGCGTGAAGATGGATTCTGAGCACATCAGGGACGGCCCTGAGGGCGCACGCTGGGGAGCAGTTACAGCACCCCGCCCACCCCCGCCAGCAGGGCTTAGGGGTGGGGCCCCCCCGCCAGGGTGAGCCCCCGGGACATGGCCAGGGTCTGCCTGGGGAAGGAAGGGTCCCAGAGCCCCGGCCGAGGCTGGATGGGGTGCTGTGTGCAGAGCTGAGCAGTCCAGGCTGCAGTAGGGAGACCCCCCCACCCATACACCACCCCCTGTGGTCACCCACCATCCTGGAGGAATCTGCAGCCAGACCTCCGTCCCCGCCTAGCATGCTCTGGACCCTGGTCTACGGGTCCCGGATGAGCCCACGCTGGCCTGCTGTGCACCTGCTCCTCACTCACACCCTGCACCACCCCCACATCCACCCGCCCTGTGGCCCTCTCCTGCTCCTTGTCCGCCCCCCTGCAGTGGAGTGCCCCTCCCCAAGCAGCTGCCTGCAAAGCCCAGCTCCTCACTGGTTTCTCTCGGCACATCTGAAATGCCCACTCAAGCCCGAGAGCACCCCACCAAGTGCTGTTGGGTCTCCCTCAAGGGACCTCCCTGGGTGGCCACAGTGTGCCCTGCCATCTCACTTCCGTGTCCCCGAGGTTACCCGTCCAGCTCCCCTTCCAGGAAGCCTGCCCCCCACCCCCGTACCCCCGCAACACTGTGACCCTGGGAGGCTGGAAGCTGCTGGGTGTTCAGTGGTAGGCCCACGGGGGCACAGAGGGGCGGGCCTGCCTCCCGTCCGTTCTCGTGGCTGGTAGAACCATGTGTGAAAAGGTGGGACCTGGCCCTTGCAAGGGGCCGAGATGTGCCCAAGGGCTGAGCCCATCACTGAGGGGACGTGGTGACTTTGCCCGCCTCTCTGTTGGGTTGTCTGCTGGGCTGGGCCACGTCTCCTGAGTCTCTGGAGGAAGGTTCTGAACACGGGTCCTCAGGCACAGACGAAAGGCTGCTGGGGCTCTGGGACGCTCTGCTGTGCCCTCCTCTGCGGCTTCTGTCCAGGCCCCCGGCCTCATGCCCCACCGCCCCGGGAGTGGCCCGTCAGCCATCAGCACCCAGGAACAGGGGCTCTGAAGGAGGCTCAGGTCCTGGGCCAAGGGGGTGGTCCTCAGAGGAGGGGCCACCGTTGGGAGCCCTGACCCTCCTCCTGACTATGCTTCCTTCCCCGCAGAGCTCTACGCAGGCCGTCTCGGGCAGAGGCTACTCGGTAAGTCTGCCGCCCCTTCCTCTGCTGGCTGGACCCATGCATGCCCCGCGCCTCTGCAGCCCCCAGCCGTCCTGAACGCCTCCCCGGGACCAGACACCTCAGGGTGGTCCTGGCCCTGCAGCGGGGCTGGGGAGGGGGCCAAAGCTGGCGGGGATTGGGAGGGAGCATCACACATGCTCAGGGTCCTGCCCTGGGAGAGACCAGCTGACCCTCATTCCCTGACTTCCTGAGGACTAGGGGTGGGGGAGACACTCTCCTTCTGGGTCCTGCCGGGAGGCACTCAGAGTGAAGGGCCCCAGGCACCGAGCAACCGCCCCCCAGGGACTTGACACTCCCACGCCATTCTCCATACTCAGCCTGGACTCAGGCATGAGGCCCCTGGGCCCCGGGGGCAGGAGGTGGCTGGCTTGCCTGGGCCTGATGAGTCCAGCTCTGTGGGGGCCACCTCCCTACCCTTGCCTCCCGCCCTAGCCCCAGCCCCAGCCTCTGCCCCTGCTTCCTGCCCCTCCCCCTGCCCCACCCCAGGGGAGCAGCCCCTGTCCTTTCCTCAGGACTTCATTTCGTTGCCCCTTAAGTATCAGGAGGGACGTTAATGACACCATAAAACCCAGAGCTCCATAAAAGCCATTTCTGCAGATTTACAGCTGTTTTCGCTCATTGGAAGGCGGGGCCTGGGCTCCGCCCGCCTCATCCCTCCCCCGCCCAAACCACAGCCCCTGATTTACTGCGAGCTCCACAGTGCCAGGCCTGTAGGGCTGCTTCTCTAACTCACATCGGCTTTTTATAGGGTGTGTAATTAACCCGCTGATTTTCTGTGTAGCAGGACACCCTGCAGCCCTGGGCCTCCCCAGCCGCCCCAGCCGCCCTGACCTCAGCGTTGCACCCGGTGGGTTGTATGCTTCTGGGTGGTGTGACGCCGGAGGGCTGTCTCCCTGGGGGAGCCCTGCCCTCCTCGGGTCCCCGGTCACAGCCATGGGTGACGGCCCTGCACTGCCCCTTCCTCCCACCGCCCAGGCGGTCTCAGCATGTCACCCACTCCTGAATGGAGCCGCACTCTGGCCAGGAGCTGTGCCAGCACTGGGCTCCAGCTGGGGACAGGGCAGGCAGACCTGCCAGTGTGGGAAGTGGCTGGCGATAACATGCTGTGTGATGCAGGTCAGGATCGGGCAGAGTGAGGGGCCAGGACCCCTACCAGCAGGTGAGGTAAGCGGTGTGTGCCAGCCCGAGGGTCCCAGAGGGGCCAGGCTCAGGGATGCCCCATTTGGAGCCTCCTTCTATGTCTGAGAGTTCCTGGGCAGCTGGGGTCTCCCTGCCCTGAGCCTCCTTGCCAGAGCCACTGGGCAGCTCTTCTACTTCCAAACTGCGTGTGTTATTCATGGTCTTCTCCCCAAAGAGCTCCTTTGAATGTTTCCTGAAGAACCCGTAATTAATGTGCCAGCTACTTGCAACTTAATCCCCCATGGCCGCTTCACGGGAGTGACAGGGGTGGCAAGGACAGGCCCGGCCTGCTGCTGGGGCCATGGGGGTTCCTATGTGTGCACACCAGGTGCTGGCATGAGCAGGTGTGTGTGCTGGTCCCTGGCATGAACAGGTGTGTGTGTGCTCGTCCCTGGCATGTGCAGGTGTGTGTGCTGGTCCCTAGCATGTGCAGGTGTGTGTGCTGGTCCCTGGCATGAGCAGGTGTGTGTGCATTAGGCCCTGGCACGAGCAGGTGTGTGTGCTGGTCCCTGGCACGGGCAGGTGTGTGTGCTGGTCCCTGGCATAAGGAGGTGTGTGCATTAGGCCCTGGCATGTGCAGATGTGTGTGCATTAGGCCCTGGCATGTACAGGTGTGTGTGCTGGTCCCTGGCATGAACAGGTGTGTGTGCATCAGGCCCTGGAATGTGCAGGTGTGTGTGCTGGTCCCTGGCA